AAAAAAAAAAAAAAAAGAAAGAAAAGAAAAGAAAATAGTGAGGCTATGTCTCTACAAAAAATAAAAGAAATGGCAGGACATGATGACTTATACCTGTGATCTCAGGACTCTGGGAGGCTGAGGCAGGTGGATCACCTGAGCTCAGGAGTTCTAGACCAGCCTGAGCAAGATTGAGACCCTAGCCTGGGCTCAGTGGCTCACCCTTATAATCCTAGCACTCTGGGAGGCCGAGGTAGGTGGATTGCTTAAGTTCACGTGTTCAAGACCAGCCTGAGCAAAAAGTGAGACCCCCATCTCTACTAAAAATAGAGATGAGCCCAAGAGTTGGAGGTTGCTGTAAGCTATGATAGCACGGCACTCTACCTAGGGGGACAGCTTGAGATTCTGTCTCAAGAAAAAAAAAAAAAGTGAGACCTATCTCTTCTAAAAATAGAAAAACTAGCCAGGTGTTATGTTGGGTCTCTGTAGTCCCATAAACTCAAGAGGCTGAACCATGAGGATTGCTTGAGCCCAAGAGTTTGAGATTTCTATGAGCTATGACACCACAGCACTCTACCCAGGGCAACAAAGTGAGACTATGTTTCAAAAAATGATAATAATAAAATGAAATAATTAGCTAGGCGTGGCGGTGCCTGTATTCCCAGATTCCCAGGTACTTTAGAGAGGCCAAGATAGAAACATGACTTCAGCCCAGCATCTAGAGGCTACAGTGAGCTATGATGACACCACTGTATTCTAGCTTGGTGACAAGAGTGAGCTCACTGCAGACTTTTGTGTCTCAAAAGAAAAGAAAATCGCTTCTAAGTCAGGTCTAAGCTGCCTGTAGTCCCAGATACTGAGGAAGCTGAGACAGAATGATCTGGGCAACATATCACGTGTCTAAAAAAAGAAAAAAGAAATTTCAGGTGGTGCCTGTGGCTCAAGGAGTGGAGGTGCTGGCCCCATATACCGAAGGTGGTGGGTTCAGACCTGGCCCCGGCTAAAAACTACAAAAAAAAAAAAAGAAAGAAATTCCTTCTAGGACAGTGGTTATAGAACCCAGCCCAGGCCAGCTAAACAACAATCTACAACTCCAACAAAAAAACAGCCAGGCGTTGTGGCGGGCACCTGTAGTCCCAGCTACTTGGGAGGCTGAGACAAGAGAATTGCTTAAGCCCAAAAGTTGGGAGATTGCTGTGAGCTATGATGCCATAGCACTCTACCAAGGGTGACATAGTGGGACTCTGTCTCAAAAAAAAAATTCCTTCTAAAGTTGATAGAAAGTAGAGAATTACATGAATTAAATAGAAACTAATTTAGGGTTAAAAATAATATAACTGTTAACACTAGCAGAGGTAGAAAAGAGGTGTAAATGAGCTCAATTCATCTTTCATAGCAGGGAATTGGTAGTTACTATCTAAAGTTGGCAAATCATAAAAGAGATGTAGGCACATTTATTAACATTACTCTAGAACAAAGAAAACAGAAGGAGTTTTTAAAAGTTTTTATATTTTGGGTGGTGCCTATAGCTGAAAGGAGTAGGGGGCCGGCCCCATATGCCGAAGGTGG